TATAACTGACCGAGGCATTCTGACCTGAAACTTATCTGTTTCCATGAAGAAGTTCCGCTATCCAGGCGGGGCACCTGTCGGAGGACATTATTGATGTTGGCTTCTCGCCCCGGTAATTTCAGACGGCCATCAAGGCATCTGGGGACACCACCACTGGCGATGATGGCATTACTTACTCCACGATAGCAAGTGCCGGCCGGTGCGGTCATGACTCTATCCTTAATTAAGGTATTTTGTGGAAGCTGGGACCTGCTCACAGGCATGACTTTGGCTTCAACAAAAGCGTGGGTACCCCCGAGAAAATCACTATACTGCTTACCACTATTGCTTCGCACTAACACATCAACATCTTAGTGTTCCTAGATTTGGAGAAGGCGTAGGAGATGGCCAACGCATCTGCCATCCTCACTTCCCTGGCTTGCGGAGGAGTTAAGGGCAGGCTGCGGAGTTGGGTCGAGTCTCTTCCTATGTGACAGATTACCTCGATTCTGTTTTCAGGGTTACATCTTTGCTTACAGCTGGAGAACGGTACGCCGCAGAAAGGAGAACACCCAGCCCTGCCCAGTTCAACGTCCTGTTGCATGAACTGGTTCAATTCCAGTTCAGTGCAGGCTTTAGACTACTCAGATACACCGACGACCTCGCTCTTGTTATGACCGGGAAGCAATGGCTGAAGCTGCGGGCTCAGAAAGATATGAACTTGATCGCATCGACTTGCCAAGTGATCGGACTCAAGATCTTGACAGAGAGGTCTAAGGCCATCGTATTCCACCCCAACGACTCGCCCACCAAGCTTTACATATAAGGCACAAAAGTGAATCTGACAACCTCTTATCAGTATATTGGGCTTCTGAACTGAAAACCATCTGGCCTTCCACAAGTAAGTTGAATATGTCAGGCATTTCCCATGGCAATGTTCTGCAATAGCGAACCCTCAATCCGGCGCCAGCCAGGAAGCCTCCGGATGTTTTACATCACATCGTGTGCTCACCCATCATCTATGGTGAATAAGCCTTTATCCACACCAGTCCCTTAAGCATGAAGAAATTGGAAGTGATTCAGAACAAGGTTACAAACACGATACTTGGCACTCGTATTGAATAATAATTATTGGTGTTCGTACCGTATCAGGTTCTGGCGTCTAGACAGAAGGGAGGTAGACCGCAGATAGCAACTATCCAAGGAGATACTACTGTCATAGTAGAAGGCGTTTGTGCAGTGTGTTAGATGCCGGTATCTGTGATCCGTCAGATAGTAAGTAGGTAGAATATAGACACCAAGGTTACAGGGAGGTACTGCCGTCATGTAAGTATTAAGGAAACCTGTTAACGCTTTCCACTCTGAATTGCTGATTTTTTCTCGCTATCTTATGAAGAACATGTAAGAACATAAGTCTTCGCATTTAACAGTGTGCACTTTCCCACACTGTCTTGTGTGTTTCTTAATAGTTTCTATTTCTGTAATATATCCATTCTAATTTATTAGTCCTCATGTGAGATCAGGCTGTGAGAGAGACGATCCCATCAACCATTAAGAGATATAACAGGTAATTCAGAGATATATCTCCTACTGTACTTTGATCAGGTCCACTGGCATAGTGGACCTGAAAAAATGGATCTGACTCCTTCATACCCTTGCCTACACTTACCCAGGCACTAGCACTCAATGGAATTGCAACCTCGAGAAAGACAAATGAATACTCCTCATTGTTATCTTCACCTCTTACCTATACTCATTCAGCTTATTCCTGTGTTTCACTTTTTCCTTCTTCCTTTGTTTAATTGCTCTTCGAAATTCTACAACGAATTTACGTTTTAATGGTTTTTGTGGCACATGAGCTTCTCCCTTGCAAGCAGTTTTAAATAAATTAGAATTAAAACAAATGTGTGGTAGTGAGGCCTTGGTCGGGTGTACCCAGTCAATGTGATCTTGATAAAAATGCAGTTTTTAGATTTTATCCTTTTAAATACATAATTGGATGATTATTGCGTGTTGAGTAGCATTCTGCATTGGAATGTGTGGAGTGTGTTAGTGAAGGAGGGGAGGGGGAGTGCCGGTTGTTGAAGAGTAGTGATGGGTACAGGGTTGTAGCGGGTAAGAAGCTGTGTTGAGTATTGAGTGAGGGGGGGGGGATATAAGGGGTAGGAGTGGGATGATGGTGGAAATGGGGAATAGTGATTAGTAAAGGGGTGTTGGTGGTGAGTAAGAGTGATGATGAGGGTTGGGAGGTGATTGGAAGGGGAGGGGGTGAGAAAGGGATGGTTTTTGACTGAGGGGCTCCAGTGAGAGATGGGTGGCGGCAAATGGAGATATCAGTTATTGTGACAGTAGTGTAGATACATCGGCAGCGTGCTGCCACTCTTTTCTTTTTACACAAATCAGTTTCACAGGCTAAGAGCTATTATCCTACCTCGACTCGTTTCAAAGCCAAGCCCTATCTAAGGTAAACAACCACCCCCAGGATGCAACCTTCAACTGCTCAGCAAGACAGTTACGTGAGGAAAACAAAATCTAGCTATATTTCTTTGTCATAGTCCATCAAGCAGGAAACAGGAAACAGGGAAACTTCAGTTGGACATGAAGATATCATGAAGTATTCCGCCGATGAGGCAGCAGCTACGGCAGCAGCAGGAGCTTCGTTTCAGCAAAGCTGTATTTATGGGAGAAATGGAATTAAGTGGATTCTTTTCATCACACAGACATTTAAGAAGCTATAATGGAAGCTAAAAAAAAGTAGTTAAATTATATTTAAATATACATAAAGACATACACAGCGTAATCTCGCTGTCGGAAAGCTCTGTTACACTGAAAAACATGATACAAACTCACTACACTAAGGTCACCAACCAATGTTTATTCCCCATTAAAAGTTGGAAAGAACTAATCTGTCTCATAATACAAAAAAAATCTGCGTTTAGGGGTGCCCAAGTTATCATGGGACAAGTAAGGGTAAAGGGAAAATGCCCTCCGCCGCTCTTTCTTGCCGGGTGTGGGGAAATTTGTTTTTGTTTGGGGGGATTTTGAAATGAAAAATTAAAAAAGTGGGGATTGTTTTAAGAGACTGTGCAAAGTTACGCGAATCTATAAAGATTAATGACAATAATAATAAAATAATAATAATAATAATAAAAAAAAGAGAAGAAGAAAAACTTTAAAAAAGGGGTTGCTTAAATGTGCGTGGTGAGTGCGGATGAAAGAAAAAATTTTGTGAGGTTATGAATGAAAAAAAATTGGGATCCCCTGGCCTAAGCGAAACAAAGCTAAAGGGGGGGTGGGAGAGTTTCAGTGGGGGAAATAAAATGGATTAAATCGGGAGTATCTGAAGAGTTAGAGCAAAGGAAGGGTAGCAGTAATTTTAAAATATCATTAGGAAAAGGAAAAAGAGAATAGAATGTGAAATTCAAGAATTAGGGGGTTTAAAGAAAAAGGTTGGATGCGAAAAGTGGGTATAATAAGGTGTATGCACCTGGGAAAAGGGAAAGCGAGGAGAAGAGAATTTTTGGGGGATTTAAATGAATGTATGGGCCTTTAACCCGGGGAAAATAATTGGGTAGGGACTTGAATGCTAAAGTAGGGGAAACTTTTTGAGAGGGTGTGGAGGTAAGTTTTTGGGGGGCCCGGGGTAAATGAAATGGGAGCCCCTTTTATTGAACTTTGTATAGAAAGGGGTTTATTTTGGAATACATATTTTAAAAAAAGAGGGTTAAATTACACGATAGTAGGGGGAAATGACAGATTTTTTTGGATTATTATTGTAATAAAAGAGTTGAGTAGACTTTAGGGGTACTTTTTTATAGAGGGCCACAGATATTCAATCCTTTTTTTAGTTGTACAAAACTGGAGAAAAAAAGGGAAGGGATACAAGGGGAATAGAACACAGAGGGAAAAGGGTGAAAGGTTTATAAAAATAAAAAGGAGGCATTAGGGTAAAATAAAAACGCATTTGGGGGTAGATGGGCTAATGAAGAAAGGAAGGGGTCGAAGAGGGGATGGGTAGGTTTTAAAAAAGTATGTTAAGTGTTCAGCAGAAGTTTTGGTTCAGGAAAAATGGGTGCAGGGGGGAAAGAGGAGCGATTTGGGGGAATGATATGTAAGAGAGTGTAAGGGGGAAAAAGTTAGCATATGAAAATTTTTACAAAGTAAAGTGACAAGGGGGGAAGAGTAATGGAGAAAAAAAAAGAAGTAAAGAGTGGTGAAGCATGTAAAAAGAGAGCAAAGAAGAGTGGGTGAGATTTATCAACAAATTTTTGTTGAAAAAAAGAAAAAGTTTTGGGGGTGAGATTAACAAGTTAAAAAAGCCCAGAGAACAAATGGGTTTGTCAGTTAAAAAAAGGGGAGGAGTTATTAAATGG